GCAGGGTGAAAGATGCTGGCAGGGAAGGCCTTCATGGAACGCCATAACCAAGTGGCTGGCATAGTGTACATAAACATCTGTGCAGAGTATGGGCTGGAAACTCTAAGGTCTTAAGCCTAGTTTATACTCGCGCGGCGCGGACCTTACGGAGGTGACGTGACGTCACTTGCGCAACGCGTTGGTCACCGCAAGGCCCTTACGTCGCCTGCCGCGCAGCATCGAAATTTTCTAACTATGTAAGGGTCGCCGCAAGGAAGCTCCGCTGTGATTGGTCCGTGTGTGTGTATTGGAAGGAAGCATGAAGCGGCTGCAGCAGGGACATGGACGAGGCACTATGGAGCAGAGAACTTTGTGCTTCGAAGGAAAAGCAGTTTGGGCTCAGAGCCTGATATACAGGAGACTGTGGACTATCTAACATATATATAACTTATAAACTGTGCAATCGTTTGTTTTGCACTGTTCCTGTCTTTGTTTGAATCGTAGCTGCGTATGTTGCTTTCCTCCTGCACTCGTAAATCGTTCATGTTTGTCTCAGATATTTGCCACTATTATTGTTTTGCTGTTTGTGCTGAAAACTATTTAATAATAACCATGTTTCCAACAAGAACTGTGTCTTTATTCACAGCATCACAGTTGAAATGACTTATAAAATAATGAATCCATAAAACTATCACATAAACCTGCAGTAGAAACACGTGTAATGAGCTCAAACAGCTTTGTTTGCTATTGTTGTTCTGAAGAGGACAAAGTAGCAGCGTAAATGGGGCCGCTCCTGTGTGATGGCCCTCATGTGGTTTGTTGTGGGATTACAACATTCTCCTCAAAACTCCGTAAGGGGAACCTTTATAGCAACTCCGTAAGGGGAACCTTTATAGCAACCTTTTCTTTGCTATTCCTAGGAATAGCAAAGATACTGCGCAGAACCCTCAAGCTCCCAGGTCTCTGGTAGAGGACCCAAGCTTAGTGAGGGATAACCGCCCGCGGAGGGCGAAAGGTGAGTGTTTTTTTTTTAATATATGTACACTACCGTTCAAATGTTTGGGGTCACCCAAGTGTTTTCCATGAAAAGTCACACTTATTCACCGCCATACATTGTGAAATGAATAGAAAATAGAGTCAAGACATTGACAAGGTTAGAAATAATGATTTGTATTTGAAATAAGATTTGTTTTACGTCCAACTTTGCTTTCGTCAAAGAATCCTCCATTTGCAGCAATCACAACATTGCACCAAAAACCATACATTTGCAGCTAGAATAGTCATTTACCATATAAGCAATGTATAGAGTGTATTTCTTTACAGTTAAGACTAGTTTAAAGTCTAAAACTGACCGCATCCGCAAACCGGGTCGAGACGGGTCGGACCTGGTCGGACCATAGATCCATACTCCAGCCCGTGGATACGGCCCTAATGTCCGCAAATGTCCATTTCTTGCAGATAGCTCCTCATCTGAACCGAGTCAGAGTCCTCAAAATCATAATTATTGTCATAACAAGTACGCAAGGGCTCATAAATAAAAGCCCCTAACTTGTATTGTCCATCACTGAATGAAAAATATCTGTTTAAAACGTCCGTATACGACGTTATGGCTTGCAAATGCATATCCACAAAGCCCAATGACACCTATGTGTACGTCACTTCCGGTCTCGGCAATTTTTCCGCGACTGTCTTTTTGCATGATTATTATTGATAGAAACTGCTATGGGTGAAACTATCTGTCAAAATGAGTTTTATTTAACACAAAAAAATACCACAATATACGAACAAAATAAGATTAGGGCCCTTTTAACTTTTAACCTCTTAACATCCGCCTCATTTTGGCTCGTGCACAATGGTTGGGCATACCCAAATGTCTTTGCTTATTTAAAAACACATCTTACATCTCACATGCTTGTGTGATGCATCATTTTAAAGCTAGAGCCTTCTAGTTTATGTAAAAAAACACTAAAATAATGTTTGTCATTCCTATTTTCCTCTGCATCCTTTGAAGTTAGGGAAAAAAACCCAATTTTTTTAGCCTCGCCTAACATTTTCAATTTCTAAAGGCCCTAAAAAAGGCATACTTCATTGTAAGTTCACAATATTCAAACCCTCTGTTCATTGTGTTGTTGACAACAACTGTCTAAAGTTTCAGACTTCTAAGTTTTATAGTTTTTATGCAGTTTCTCCTTTTCATCAAGTAGTGCACATTTGGCACAATTTGGCACAAGTGTGCCAAATTGTGCCAAATATCTTTACTTACATTTAATCATCATAAAAACAATATTTTTTATTATTGGTACTTATAAGTTACTAATCTATGTGTGTTTTTCTTTTTTAAATGTCAAAGTTATTTTTTTATGAGTGTAAATTCATTGCAGATTCGAGAGCGTCTTTTGGCTTCCAGTACGCACAATTGTCCAGGCCCAACATAAGACAGGACACCATTGTCCCACCCCTTGTTCGAAAGCTTTCCTCATTGGCTACAAGGACATGTCAATCGTAAATCCCGGAAGTAAACGTAAACAAGTTGGGATCACAACAAAGATCAGTCACCAATGCGCAAACAGCAGCACTAGCGGTACTTGCGGGACCTATTGCAGACCCAAAAATTGGTTTAGCTTTTCGGGAGTAGTCTCATTTGAAAGATAAGGAGCTAAGGAACACGTAGATACCAGATGTTTGGGTGAAAAACAAAGCTAAAAGTCCGTTACAAGTGAAAGAGTAACATCTGTGCTCTTTTTTTTCGTTTTTTTCGCTAAAGATAAATGCACATTTTTGGATTATTTCTGCAGAATGGATTTTACTTTGGGAAATACAAGTGGATATAATTTTCCTTTGGACTGTTCCAGAGAGAATGATGTATTGCAAGCTGGGAGGAGAGCTGATTTATTTGTACAGCACAAGCCCAAAGGTAAAAAACTATTTCGGAATTGATTTATATATCTTTTGGAATGCAAAGTCTGATGTGGTTTACACTTGTATATAAATTTAGATAAGAAAATAAGCTTTAAAATGATATACAGCTTTCGGGGTTTGGTGTTCAAAATACATCTGCTATTGCCAGCAGAACATTTAAAAACATAAAAACGGCCGCCGGCGCGCCGGTTGTTGCAAATCGCGGACTTCATGTCCGCCGTCTTGGTTTGCATCTACTGCCGTGAGACGCGCATGCGCAAGTGTGCATTACATCATTAACAGCTGAGGGAGCTCATCTCGACGGGCAGACCAACTCGACAGAATACAGGTAAACCACATAGGTTGGCTGGGCTGACTGCGCCTGGGAACAGCAGCTGATAAAAGGCACGTCATGTCATGAATGACGTCGCGAGACGCTTTTGAGGAAGACGGAAGTTATTCGTCAAAACATGTCAACACACCACAAAAAACCTTATATTAGCAATGCAAGACTCAGTGGAAACGCTGTGGTGAAAAGAGGTCGCTGTCTTACTCACTTTAGTTCATTTGATTCTGAGCAGCTAAATAATCAGAATATATAGCTACCACCACTATCAATAAACATATTTTATTCATAGAATCCATAAATGTGTGTATTGTTCTGATATTCCGTTTATTTCCTGAGATATGAATTAATAAAGTTGACGAATATGAGGCAGAGTGGGCAACAGATAGTCTGGACTCTGAAAAAAAATGAGTCGGGATATCCTCGGCATTCCGCGCGGGTTAATGACGTCGCCGCGAGGTGATATTTACCGGGTAAACAGATCACTTATTACTGCGCATTACGGTGAAAGCGGCATCTCTCCAGCTGTTGCGGTTACGGAGATATAATCCGACGAACTTAATAGCAAAATACACGGTAAGTAACCGGGATTTTGGAAAACCAACACCACACACATACATCTAAGATTATAAGCTTTAGAATGATGGTATATTTGAATCATGTCACGGTTGTTTTGACCCGCGGATCAGTGAATAAAGTTGAAAAACCGCAGCGCTCATCACACACTCTGCTCTGCTGCCGAAGCGGCAGCAAGTCCGGGCGAGTCCACTTTTCAGGGGGGTAGAAACGCGAGTCACGTGGCCCAAACGGACCAATGCCATTGGTTGGACTAATCCATTTTACATGTTAACAAGGGTGTTTGGGTTGTTAACATGTTTAAAGCTCGGGCCTGTAACTTTAGTCTCATAAATAACATGCTTAAAGCTGAGGTCTGTAACTTTAGTCTCGTAAATAACACATTTTTAAAGCTGAGGTCTGTAACTTTAGTCTCATTAATAACATGTTTAAAGCTCGGTCTGTAACTTTAGTCTCATAAATAACATGTTTAAAGCTGAGGTCTGTAACTTTAGTCTCATTAATAACATGTTTAAAGCTCGGGTCTGTAACTTTAGTCTCATAAATAACACATGTTTAAAGCTGGGGTCTGTAACTTTAGTCTCATAAATAACGTGTGTGTGTGTGTGTGCATATGCCAAAAACATTTCTAAGCATCATATTTAGATTGCTCCATCAATTACCTTTATTTTGATATATTACATAGTAGTTTGAAAAAAATGTTTTCCGGATTTCCTGTTGGCAGCCATCTTGGATAAGCTGGCGGCCATATTGGAATCGGGGTCGGCCAAATTGTAAAATGAATATCGAATTCAACATCCCTGAATTGTTTCCTTCTTTACTGTGAATTTTAATGTTTATAGTTAGTAAAATAGGGAAGTTACAGCACTTAGAAGATGAATAAAGGCTTGAACTGGCTGAATAGAAGGTTCCACAGTATCCCTTTGTTTTAAACCAAATTACTTTCACTATAAGCGCCTAAAAGCACTTATCAATATGGTAATAAAATCATAACCACTTATCCGATTTTCATAATTCAAAAACTGTTTTATTCCTCTTACTGAGCTGGAAAATACTGTGCTGAATTAAATCTGATTTGGTAATTTAAAAAATGTAATCTTGCATTGCTACTTATATTGTCTGGTATAGAAGAACCCAATACTTTTATTTCTACTAAGAAGACAAGATGAATCTTCTTAAACTGGTAAAACATGTGTCTTACATTCTACAGCAGCGAAGGCACTGTGGTCTCGGAACTGCTCTCTTCCGTCAAACTTCTTGGACCTGAAGGCCATCTCCAGAGGCGGTCCAAACAGACTGTCACATGCAGATGGTGTGGAACACAACCTGAGCACACACACACACAAACATGATAAGTCCTTAGGAGTCCAACGCATGCCACAGGGCTTATGTGGAAAAAAAAAATCCTGAGCCTGAATTATTTTTTTTCCTTCAATATCAAACCCAGCAAACATCCAACAAGGCCCCCACAACCCCCAGTTGCCCAAAAACACTGTTACAACAATGTTTGGCTAACCATTCAAATAACACTGCACATAAACTTTTCTTTTGAAATACAGTGTAGTAATTTTTTTTAGTAGCAATATTTCCCATGATTCATTAAAAAGGGTAGGTTTAACAATAGAAACATATAAATAATGTACAATTTTTTTGTTGTCTTAGGCTATTTTTTTTTTGTGATCAATTTTTTATTCTTATTTTCAAGGAGAGTGCAAAATACAAAAAATACAAAAAACCCACAAAAAAATAGAAATAATTATTAATACAAAAAATAAAATAAAGACATTAAAAAAATAAATAATAAAAAACAAAACAAAATTCCAAGCAGTGTTAGAATACCACCTATTGAAGCTTTTAGTAGCTTGAATGCGTACAATTTGATAGAACAGTACTGGGAAGGAGAGTAAATTAGTGTGTAAACAATGACAACAGAGAGAAACAAAAAGGAGCAAAGCAAACCTCACCCCCCACCCCCTACCATCCGCCCCCTAGGACCCGAACCCTCCGCCCCCACCCCCCGTCCCCCCCAATTCCCCCCAACCACCCAGGCCCGGACCTTATGCAGTATGTTAGACATTGATATCTAGGTAGCAATAAGTTATTCCTTCTGCTATGAGAAGCCCTATACTAATTGCACAGTGCTTGGATAATGGTGGAAAGTACTTTGTCCCAGTATTGTATGTTAGTTGGTTTTGCATGATGCATTTGTGAGACCCATTGTCCTAGTTTTACAATATCAATGAAGTCTCTAAGCCATTTTCTTGTGTTGACAAACTGTGGTGTCTTCCATCTACAAGCAAGTATACGCTTATCTGCTGTAAGACCAGCCAACCATACACGTTTTTCCATTATATTAAACCCGAGAGTGGAGCTATCATTGAGAAGTAAGACTTCAGGAGTGCAGGGGATATCCTTTAATAACAAATCGGATAATAGTTTACAGACAGATATCCAGAAACGTTTAACCTCTGGGCAATCCCAAACCATATGGAGAAAGGTCCCTAGTGTATTGTGATTGCAAAGTGTACAGTTAGGAGAGGGAAGTGCCTTCATCTTGAATAAAGTACTTGGAGTGAAATATGTCCTGTGTATAAAGGTAAAATGGATGACCCGATGATTAGGATTTCTTGAGGACAGTTGCATATTCAGCCAAATAGTTTGCCAATTAGCCATTGATGGGTCAAAAAGATCTTCTTTCCACGATCGGACAGCACGAATAGGCTCATCTTCCGCTAATTGCAAAAGAGAATATAATTTAGAGACTGATCTATATGTTTTCATTAACATTGAAAGGATTGAATGGGTAGGCGGAGAACTGTTCCATGGGACCCCATAAGTGCGCATTGCTGTCCGCAGTTGAAGGTAGAATCAAAATGTTGATCCCGGCAAACTGTATAATTTTTGTAAATCTTGAAATGCTAAGAGACCGGAAGAGTTGCAAATATCCCGCAAAACATGTACTCCTCTACTGGACCATTGAGATAAAGAAATTGGGATACCTCCAATAGTAAGCAGAGGATTATGAAAAATTGGAGAATGAGAAAACCGTTTCCCCTGGATATTGCAGAGTTTGCTAATGCTTGCAAACAAAAAGTCTTTGAGTCAATGAGGAAGCACAAGTTTCTCCTCTAAGGGTCTCCAAGAGGCCATTGAGGATGGGTTTAACCACTGACTCAGGGGGCGAAGAACAAAAGACCAGTGGTACCATTTTAAATTTGGGACATTAAGCCCTGCATTATTTTATTTTTTTTGCAAAATTGATAATTTGACTATGTTTTTTATTGTTCCAGATGAAGTTTGCAGCTAATAAATGCAACTTTTCCCAGTATCCCTTTGTAGGTGGGAAGGGTATCATTGCGCTTATGAAATTGATGCGGGGAAGAATATTCATTTTAGTTACTGAAATGCGGGCATGAAAAGACAAGGGGAGTGAGTTCCATTTGCGTAAGTCCTCTTCGACATCTGATGCTAGTCTACTGTAATTGTTTTTAACTATATCTGAGAGGCAAGGATATATAGAAATTCCAAGATATTTCAGATGGTCTACCACTGGGATATTAGATACTGTGCTTTCGAGAAGAGCAGTTTTATTGAGTGGAAGTATCGCAGACTTTGTCCAGTTCACCTTATAGCCTGAAATTAGACCATAGTTATTGAAAATGCCAAGGAGATGAGGGAGTGAATGAGCCACATCCTCCAGATAGAGTAATACATCATCTGCATAAAGAGATATTGAGTGAGATGTTTTGGCTATGTTGATGGGTCTATGGAGAGTTTACTGGCGTACTACTTGTGCAACAGGTTCAAGGCTAATCGCAAATAACAAAGGTGATAGAGGACATCCCTGGCGAGAGCCGCGTGATATTTGGAAAGCCTGAGAGAATGTCTGTCCGGTCAATACCATAGCCATGGGATTGGCATATAATAATCTAATCATAGATATAAATTGAGGGCCAAATCCCATGTACTTTAATACTGACCATAAGAAGTGCCATTCAAGGCGATCGAAAGCCTTCTCGGCATCTAATGAGAGAACAGCGGCTGAGGATTTTATTTTCTTGGCGTACTCAACAATATGGAGAAGACGGCGAGTGTTATCTGAAGCAAGACGCTTTTTTATAAAGCCGGTTTGATCTTCGTGAATCAGGATCTGCATAACATTTTCTAAACGGGAAGCCAGAACTTTTGCATATAGCTTAATGTCAGCGTTCAACAGAGAAAGTGGTCTATAGCTAGAGCATTCGAAAGGATCCTTCCCTTTTTTCAACAGTAAGAAAATAAGAGCTGTATTAGTGTGCTTATGAAATGAACCGTTTGAGATGGACCAATTTATCATTCCCATTAAGAGGGGACCCAACTCTGGCCAGAAAGTTATGTATAATTCTGGTGGTAGACCATCTAAGCCGGGTGATTTTCCAGTGTTCATAGTTCGTAGAGCGTTATACAATTCAGATAAGGTAATGGGGGCATCTAAATTCTCACGGCCCTGCTCTGGGAGGCAGCGTAGCTTTAAAGGATTCAGAAAAGCTGGAATAGCCTGATCATTGATATTTGTTTCAGAAGAATATAAAGTTTTGTGGAATTCTGAAAAAGCATTGTTAATGTCTTTAGGAGCAGTGACTAAATAGCCAGTGTTGGTCTTGATGGAGATTATATTAGCAAAGCTTTCACATGTATTTAACTTTACTGCTAATAATCGGCTCGGCTGAGCGCTATTCAAATAGTTTTGTCTTACGCGATGCATCAGAAAATCTGCTCTTTTAGTGAGTAGTTGGTTTAGTTCCTTTTTCAGTAATTTGTTTTTCAACATTAACTCAGATGAATTATTGGAGATCATATCCTGTTCAAGTTCAGCTATTTGTTTTTCTAGCGATTCGATATGTTGGAATCAGTTCTCTTTAAATGAGAGGCAAAGCCGATTGCTTTCCCCCTAATGCAACCCTTCACTGCCTCCCAGAGGATTCTAGGATCATCAACAGATGATTTATTCCACGAAATTATTTCACTCAAATGATCTTTCATTTCTTTGACAAATTCATCGTTTTGTAATAAGGAGCAATTAAAACGCCATCGGGTTGCTCTCTTAGGGGTTGGGGATATATGTATTTTACCCGTCACTGGTTTGTGGTCTGAAAGAGACATTGGGAGGATATCAAAGTCTGAGGTTTTATCATGCATATGTGTAGAAACGAAAATATAATCAATATGAGAAGATGATTGGTGTCTGGGAGAGAAATATGTGAATTTTAATTTTGGGTGTGTGATGCGCCACACGTCCACCAAAGAGCAATCAGCGGCCCATTTTCTTAGGGCCTCGGAGCTTAGGCGTTGATCCCATCCATCCATCCATTTTCTACCCTTTAATCCATTTCTGGGTCAGGGGGGTGGCAATCAGAGATGCCACCCGAGTCTCATAGCACCTGATCCCTTGATTGCTTTATGCACGATCTGTCCAGAGTATGAGACCAGGCAGCGTTAAAATCCCCTCCAACTATCAGAGTAAAGTCAGCTAAACCACAAACTATGTCTGTTAGGTGGTTGTAGAACTCAATGTCAAACTTGTTTGGTGCATATACTGACAAAAATGCAAATTTGGACCCATTTATGATTAATTTGGCATATGCAATCCTTCCCACCTCCAGAACCCAAGTGTGTGATATGAAGTGCATGTTTAACCAAAATCAAAACACCTCTTGCTTTTTTAATAAAAGAAGAAGACACAATTACTTTAAAATGGTTATTCTGCATCTTGTTAACATCTTTCTCTAGGAGGTGAGATTCTTGTAGCATAGCTACTTCTATATTTTTTCTATGAAGGAGATCCAGAGTACTACTTATTTTTTGTGGAATATTCAGACCCCGCACATTCCACGATAGCAATCTTATGCTACTCATAGTGAAGAAAGAAAGTGAGCATAGACACTAGAGAGTATGACTGACCGTTTTTAACTCCGTAAAGTCCCCCCCCCCCCCCCCCCCCCCGACTAGAGAAAAATTACATCCAGACCCCACTCCCTTTGTGTGGAATACCGTATCTGCAGTCATATTAGATATGAATGAATTGAATAGATTAAAAAATAAATAAATCAATCAATAAAAAGATTTTAAAGAAAATAAAAAATTTAATTGAATTAAAATCATAATAAACAAAGAATAAATAAATTAATTAAAGCCGCAAGCGGCGTCAAACGGCCCTCGCCGCACCGCGCGCACCACCCCGTGCCACGCCGCCCCGCACCAAGCCACCCCGCCCTACACCACGCCGTCCCGCATCACGCCGCTCCACAACGCCCCGCACTACGCCGCACCACACCGTACCACACAGC